ACCAGCGAAGTTGACTCAGCGGAATTAGTCAGTCTCAGTAAAATGAAATTCAAGCATTAGTTATGAGTTAGTCAAGGGTTATGACAACTTGACTAAATACGGTTTTATTTACAAGTACATGACTATCATAGTCACGTCATGGTCATTTCCATTGGCTTCCCATTGACTTTTCCTCGTCTTTCCCTGGGTTTTTCTGATCATATATAAAATATTATAACTATAATATGACCGTGAGAGACATATCTGTAAACGAAACCGCATTTAGTCAAATTTCCATAATACTTGACTAACTTGCGACTAATACTTGAATTCCGTTTTTACTAAGGGTCAGTGCAGACGTCGTTTTGGATGAGCAGATAGTCTAAGCGAGATCTATCTGACATAATGCTCCTGATGGGAGTCGCCATCACGTCAAATGAGCTCCCGATCTTCCGATTTATGCTATTCCTCAGAATAAAACCTTGCAGGAATGAGTTTTCAAAGTGGGAGGACAAGAAGGTATTGCCAATCATGAACAAATACGGGCTCGTTTGTTTCCGTTTCCGAAGCCAACTATCTTCAGCCTGTCTGTTGTCTTTCCGGCCATCTTCCGCTTCTCAACTTGAAAAATCGAAAGTTGTACATGTCTTATAGTCTTGCACGTAAATCGCCGTGACCACCATCAACATCTTCATCCTCATAGCCCCATTCTCAAAACTTGTTCCTCCGCCTTGACGAATCCATCGCCACCAGACCCCATCCCTTTGGTGTGATTGGCTTGGCGTCCACCTGCTCGTATCATACTGTCGTTTTTACTTTGAAGCTAGTTCATAGAGCATAGGTGCATACATGTACAATACTCATTCGATACTAAACCTCACCTCAACCAGTTTGACTTCGCATGCCAATCATCCTAACAATCTGAGCCCAGAAGTCAGATTCGCAGCTCGAGCGACGCGCATACTCTCGACATTTACCCACCACTGACTAGTGACTGTCCTTCGAGGCTTCGAAATCTATCACTCACATCACGCTCACCGCTGTATACCACACGATGCCACATCACGTACCGACCTCTCGCCATCCCACTTTCTGTACCATCGAGCGCGCTCTCATCATCCAGACTCCATCCTATATTGCCTCCACACACTCAGCTGTTACCAGCCACAATGCACACTTCTCATTGGATCAGCCATGTAATTTTTGAATGGTTCCCCCAGTCAACATGGGATGCCGAAACGGCATGCGCGTAGGCTTCATTAAACTCATCGTTTCACCTACCATCTAGACAACCACCAGCCACGCTTCGCAAGATTCACCACCTACCATCAAATTCCTTCCACATACAGGACGAGTCAGTACTCCGGATAATCGTGGGTATCAGGAGGATGAATGTCGGGGAGTCGAGGAGGATGGAGCCTAGGGCATCGTCTAGGCTAGAGCGGGTTCGTGATGCGTCCTGTCTGCTAACCTTCCGGGGGCGAGCGTACTCTGAATTTCCAGCGCGTTGTCTACATCTGGAACAACGATATGCGTTGTATTACAATGGTGACCTTTGCCAGTGCCGCTGCAGTGGTGGATCTTGGCTGGAATCACGTGACCATGTAGCGCGCATACTGCGTTCGTTTTCGTGTTGTAGACTACAATAATCTATACCGCTACCATCCCGAACAGTGCGACTGGCTCCGGGAAAACCACCCTGCTCCACTGTGACCATGCTCGCCGCCATTGGACCACATATTACTTCACTCCTGATGCGTCGTCCACGAGCTACCTATCTTCACCATCGGTTGCATCCATCGTGGTACTACTGAAATTCCCCGTGCTTTCATGGTATCCCACTACAGTTTTGTTGTCGAGGGGTGTGTGGAATGGAGAGTTGAGTAACTAACGATTGTGAAGTTGATTCAACAAAAGTATTGAAGCATAGTATGGTTAGTGTAAAACCAAATACTGAATAAGACGCCACTCGTTGAATCGTGAAAAGTAAACAGTCGCCTGCATCAATTATATTTTACACATCGATTCAAATGCAAATCACGTCTTTCTATCAGACGAATCTTATATTGATCCGGCCACTTTGTGGCCACAAGTTACAGATATGATGGAAGAGAAGAGACGAGGCAGCAGAATGAACAAAAAAGGTCTGGGATAAGTTCGAATCTTTTTAGAAAAAAAAAAGATTTCAACGTTGAAGCCTCAGATGAAATGGTGTTGAGACCTTGAGGCTTGGAGAATAAGATCGACTTTTGTGTTCGCACAAAAAAATGTGTGAGCAGTTGGTCGGATTAGTACAATGTCGGCAGTGCTCTGGTCCATAATTGGACAGATAGCTTTCGACATTACAGCGTACTAGAAAGAACAAAACATTCGTCATACAACGTTTATAGGATTACTATGTATAGCGATGAAGAGGAGTTTGACTATTGTTGAGAGCAAAAAATAGTCCCTGCTGTTGTACAGCAATTTAGCGTCAGCTATAGATAGGATAGTCTGTGATCTCTATACACGTAGGAGCCGTATGACTGAAATTCAAGTGTGGTAAATATGTAAACATATGTTTATAAATCAGCCTGAAGAACACCTTTGAGATCTCTATGCTTTTATTTCTTTCACCTCCAGAGTTCCTTCAACCAACTATATGCCCCTACTCTCACCTTGCATTTGCTCCCTGGGTTATTTCGAGGTACCAGATATCTAGATGCACCAAAATTAGCACATTGACTAGTATACAGCACTGTTGTCTTTAGACATTTATATAACATATATGCTTCCTTGATCTAATTCCAAGATCCCCCCATTCACTCATGCCCATTGCTAGCGGATGTTTATATACAAATATGCAACAATCACTGGAATTTGCTAGCATAGATCCACCACCATCTGGCGTCTTTCCAATTGAAATTATACGGACTACTACCGTGACAACTGTCGTCGAAGAATGGCCTGGTTAGTAGCCATATAAGGCTGCTACTTGTTATTTTCAACTTGGAGTGAAGATCATTGACACGTATGATGCAGGTTACGTAGATACGTCACGAAAAAAGGACCTCTCTATTATCACTACGGGGCAACAGCTACTGGCCAATATAACAAGTTCTTCAGACAAGCCAAAATTTCGTACACCACAACTACTACGTTCGCAAGCTTCTCATGGGTGGGAAAACCAACAGAGGCCAATATTTGAATCATCAGAAGCTTTTACCCAAGTCTATAGCGCTACTCAAGCTAATGAGGTGTCAGAAGATACTTTTTGTATTTATAAGGTACTTGTTCTAAATTATGACTCATATTTTCGCTCATTTCTGTCATTATATAAAGCAATCCGCTAGTCAGCCTGACTTATCTCATCCTAGGAGCGATCCGCAATCACACAAAGGAAGTGATGTGGACTCAGCATCCCTGTCAGGAACGCAGTCTTTGAGTGACTTTTTGAATGTAAGATGACCCGCTCAGGAGATTTCCAGTGGTTTATAATGCTAAGTGGTGGATGTGAAGTAGCTTCCTGCAGATAGATCTCCAGAATTCCTCGAAGTAAATAGCCATGTTGACGAGGAAAGCCATGATTATGAAGATTTTATATCTGAATATTTTGACGTAAGTGAGCCCCGCTTATCCGACTTTGAGTGATTTGTTCCTGTTGCTGATCAAACCCATTATTTACTCAGGATGTGCTCGATTCGACGTCCACTTACCATCTGTCTGTAACGAGGTTGCTTCCGATAAACACTCTGAAATAATATTCGAGAGTTCTGCTTCGGACTTGGAATGCAAGTCTGAGCAGTCTTCTAGCATAACCCGTGATATGTCATTTGATATCGACGTAGTAGGATCTGAAAATGATCCCTTAGAGACCGCCGTTCAATTGGTAGGCAATCTATTCCTCTCAAATCCTATTTCTCCTCGGACGAGTGGCTCTCTTACTCATACTTTTATTCAAATAGTCCATCTTGGGTGGGACCTTCTCTACATATCATCAAAAAACGAAAATAGAGGTTTTTCAAGACAAGTTCACATATGATTCTCACATAGGGAACGAGAACGAGAACGAGAACGAAATAATTGCGAGAGCAAATCCATACGCCTTTGTTTCCGCCGCTAGGGCTGATGTTGTAAGTAATTCTATACCACATGTTCTGATTCTCTTTGATATTTATTTGGGTTGAGCAACAGTGCTGCGATTATACTGCGCTGGCAGAAATGCCCTCTCGGAGGGGTATATGGAGGTTTTTATTCTGCATTTAATTACTTTTGAACTTTATTGTAAACAGAATGAATGAAAGAAGTCCATTTATTTCTATATGAATCAAATTAAGGAATATTCAGTCCAATAGGGAAAAATGAGTGCAGAATAATGAATAATGTAAGACGGGTAGACGCCACGAGATCCCAGAGAGATGACCGTTTATTAAGCGATAACCGTTCGACACATCTTTGAACGTTCGATGCATCGACTTTGACGGACTAGGCAACTCAAATACCCGTAGAACGAGAGAGTAGTGAACTTCAAGTGAATAGAATGAACTCTGGGCTGTGTCTACAAAGTGGTAATCTAATACCCCTTCAATCTCAGTCCCCTATTCGGGTGAGTTTTAATCACTGCACGCACGGCAAAACATTACCCCAAAAAGCGCAAGGAACACTAAATATTCAACGCTGAGAATTCGCGTGTATTGAGAGGAAATTGAAATTTCGGCGGGTTGACACAATTACGACTCCTCCGAAATTGATTGTAGCAAAGACCCTGGTTATCATGCTTAATAGAAAGAATTTGTCGGAACTTCCCAGGATGAATTCACTGATTGAGCTGTAATATAATACTATTCCTGGTGCTTTGACACCGAATATTTTTAATGGATAGAAAGTAGCTATAAAGCAACAAGATCATATCGTAGGCTCTTAAGAGGTAATGGTTGGGGGAGGTATTTCATTTGGTCATTCCCGGTGAAGATTCAACACCCCCGTTAAAAAAAAATTAATGCAATTGTTGTATCTTGTAAAAACTGCGGACGATCAGATGATGCATCAAGAGGGAATTGAACCCCCGGCGGGTCGAAACAGCTGAATGAGAATAGTGTGTATAATGGCAACGACCCAGGTTACCACTACCCTATTGATGCGTCTAAAAGTTAGGGAATTGGTAGAATTGAAGTTAATTATGTGCCTAAAGGAACAGGAAATCCTGAACGAGATCATGTGAATTAATTTGAAGCTATTAATTTCCAATAAGGAGTGATAATATTTTACGAGTTTGTAATAGGTAATTTCGCTTAGCGCGAGCTGTCGAAGTGGGAGGATGAGAAGGGTATTGCCAATCATGAGCAAACACAGGTTCATTTGTTTCCGTTTCCGAGGCCGGCTGTCTTCGAAGTTCGGCCTGCCTGCAACCTGCCAGTCGTCTTTCCAGCCATCTTCTGCTTCTCAACTTGAAAATCGAAAGTCATACATGTCCTATGGTATTGCCTGTAGCTCGCCGTGACCACCATCAACACCTTCATCCTCACAGCCATTCCCATAACCCGTTCCTCCACCTCAACGAACCCATCGCCACCACTTCCATCTCTTTGGTGTGATTCGCTTGATGTCCACCTGTTGGTACCAGATTGTTATTTTCTACTGTTGAAGCTAGTTCATAGAACATAGGTGCGGACATACAAATTCTAATTAATTCAATACTGAACCTTACCTCAAACAGCTTGACTTCGCATGCCACCCATCCCAAGAATCTGAGCGCAGGAGAAGTCCGATTTGCAGCTCGAGCGACGCACATACACCCAACGCCTACCCACCAGTGACTAGTGACTGTCCTCCGAGGCTCCGCAATCTATCACTCGGATCACATCGTCTTCACACACTCAGTTGCCACCAGCACCAACGCACGCCTCTCCTTCAATTAGTTATGGAATTTTTGAGTGGCTCCCCCGTCGATACCGATTTTGAGTGTTGATATGGCATGCGCGTAGGCCCTATCAAACTCATCGTTTCGCCTACCATCTGGACAACCACTAGCCATGCCTGGCCAGATTCGCCAACTACCACCAAAGTCCTTCCACGTACAGGGCGAGTCAGCATTGCAGATGGTCGTGGGTATAAGGAGGCCGATGAGGATGGGTATAGACTGATGGGCGGAGATGGGTGTAAGGGAATCGAGGCGGACGGAATCTGGTCATGCACTTGTCTACGCTGAAGTGGGTACACTTCCAAGCTGATGCATGTCTGGGAGTCGAAGAGTATGGAGCATAGGGCATCGTCTAGGCTAGAGCAGGCTCGTGATACGTCACTGTCTGCAGACTGTCTGGGGCGAGCATACCCTGACGGTCCAGCGCGTTGTCTACATCTGGAACGACGATATGCATTGTATTACAATGGTGGTCTCTCCCTTGCTACATCTTATGGTTCCTTGTAGCTACGTTTCTTCAACGTAGGCTGCCACTACGACCGCTATCACCAGCACCAGCGCTTGCACCATCACCAGCATCATCCCGTCGTTCTTTGCTACCACAGCACTATCCATGATCACAGCGACGACCACGACCACAGCCATCACCTCCACGCTTCCTAGCATCACTACCACCACCACATTCACCATTGCCGTAACCACATTTACCGCCATGCGACCACGTAGTACTTCATCGCTCCTGATGCGTCATCCACAAGCTACCCATCTGCACCGTCGTCGTGGTTTTACCGATGGGTCCCGTACTTCCAGGGTATCTTGCTACAGCTTTGACGAGGGCCGTTGGGGCATGCGGAGTTGATGGAGCTGATGCACCTAGACCGTGTCTCGTAAAATCCAAGGAAACGACTGGGACGAAGTGGCACTTAACGCAGAGGGTGGCTATCTACTATCACCGGCTCATTAGACGCTCGAGTACATGTCATAATATGTTACCCCATCGTGGTCGCTCCCCATGACCTCTCGCGAGAAACTTGTACGTTGGAGTTAAAACGCTACAATACTTTCTTGCGGTGTGTTTAGCCGACTGTCGCAGTTGACTTGGGAAGATTCTGTCCTCGGTGCATGTTCCTTCTCGCGTCAGAACCACCTCGATAATTCTGAGCAGAGAATGCCATTACGCGTGTTGCTTCTGTCATTGAAACGGTAGCTGAACTTAGATGTGTAGTGTTGACGAGGATGGGACTTTTATTTAGAATAAGACCTTCAGGCAAGCAGAGTATCAACACTTTCACTACCCCTAATGCTTGCTTCTACCGTCAGCGTCACCAATTCCATCGTCTTATGTTTTCACTTATTTATCAAGCCTCTTAGCATTGAGCAGCTATCCCCATTCTTTGTGCCTGTCGCGAATGTTGGGGAACTGGAGTCATAATTGTAATCTGTCTGCATATCCTTTCGCCGTCTTTCGCGAAAAGAACCAGGTGTTAGACATGGCTCGTATGGCGCTTTGCATAAGCAGGCTCCGCTATAGGCGGGAGTGGTCGTAATCGATCTGTCGTCGTTTGCTGCATTGTTGTGGTTGTTGGGATGCTCTCTTTATGCACGCTCTCTTCATGCATGCTCTTACTATACGCTCATCTCCTATGTATTCGGGTTACGGAGTTTCCTACGAGATCTGTAGCCATTTCATGAACGACCGCTCAAGTAAGATAAAAAATCGTCTCAGGGGCTATATGTACAAAGAACGTGATGAAGCCATCAAGAATAGCGAGGCACGATTCGTTTCTTTGATGGTTACTAGCTACGTTCGTCAGCGACATGCAGGTGCATTACAAAGACTGCGGTTGATACAAATCTCGCGACTCAGAGGATTATTCATTTTCTTCTAATCCCTACCCTCCGCAGTCCGCAGAAGTCAAATTGGCAGGACGAATTGATATTTGATCATTTAATCTGATCCAGGGTGAAGGATGCCGGGGTAAATGCGTTGAGGATACGTATTCCCTGCTACCGAATTTCTTTGCTTAAATAGACGTGCCTTTGGCGTAAATCACAGTTCAGCACTACACATCCATTGCCATAAGATGATCACATTCTACGATTTCGCCTCCACTGTCCCTGGAAAGACAGTTAATCCCAACACATGGAAGACGAGGTAAAATTTTCTCATTGATGCCCTTAAGTTCATCACGCTAATGATGCGTACTTCAGATATTCGTTAAACTACAAGCAACTCCCATACAAGACTGAATGGGTCGAATACACTGAGGAAATCGAAAGAGTATGCAAGAAAATGGGCATTCCTCCTACCACCAAAAGACCAGACGGCAGCGACGTCTATACCCTTCCGGCCATCTATGACGACTCGACCAAAACCGGTGTCGCTGATTCCCTCTTGATCGCAGCTTATCTCGATAAAACCTACCCCGATACACCCAAGTTATTCCCCGATGGCACCGAGGCGTTGCAGACCGCCTTCAACGACGCGTTCATGTCCAAATTTGGCTCATCGTGGCTGCTGCTCGTCCCAGTAATCCTGAAGGTTCTTCTACCCTCGAATGTGGACTTTTTTGTCCGCGCTCGTTCAGCAGCACTGGGGAAACCTCTCTTAGATATTTTGCCTGTTGGAGAGGAGCGAGAGGTGCAATGGAAGAACTTGAAAGCTGCCCTTTCAACTGTGGATATGTGGTATCAGAAGAATGGAGGAGGACCTTTTATTATGGGAGATACACCTTCGTTTGCTGATTTCATTGTGGGTGGGTTCCTTAGCATTGTGAAAGCAGCGGGGCACAATATTCCCGAGTGGAAGGAACTACTAGAGGGAGATAATGGAAGGTGGAAGAAATTAGGGGAGGAGCTGGAAAAATATGAGCGTGTGGTTTAGTGATGTAATATTCATCTAAGTTGTATACTGGTTACTAAGGTTTTTAAATGTCACTCGTTTATATCATTAGCCCAATACTACGTCTTTGAAAGCCTGCTGCCTGTCCGAACTCAGCTGGTACACTTTAGCCGTTAAGCAAAAGAAGCTATTAAGAAACGATATGTTTCTTAATGTCGGACAGTATATAAACAGATGGCTCGTTGTAAGTATGCCATGCTTACGGTCTTGAGTTCATGATAGAATTGATTTCTCAGTGGTACAGATCCATGATCTATACTCTTTCAAGATTTAGAACGTTGTTCATCTGAAGTCTTGGGGCCGTGATACCATATTGTGTACTTTAACCCACTGATGGGCGTGTGAGGGGATTGTCTATAAAAGATTTTGATAGAAGTGAAAAAAAGAAGCAAAAACAGTCTCCTTTCACATAAAAACAACTGGATAAGTACTATGATATTGTACACTTGTTAGTTACGGGCAGGAGCGGTACATTATACATATGAAAAGAGATACGCAATTTCGTTAAAAGCATCGTGTTCATTTTTAACTGTGGCATAGGTAATTACTCAACAGTAAATTTCGCAACTTTAGGGTAAGCGTTTTGAATATGGCAACTGAGCATTGATAACACTGGCCGGTTGCCTTGAAACCGACAGTCATGGGAGCTTTGGTTGCTGGTTGCCAAACTTATAACTATGTATACCGCTTGATTACTACACTTTTCATACTAACATCAAATTACAAAATACTGAACAATATCATCGAACATCCTATCAAACCAGATAAATATTATTTTTTCAATGACGACAGGTATAATTAGGCTGCTCTTTATACTTTCTGTTCTGTATTTCATCGACAGGGGGCTCACTTCGTACAGGATTTCGATAGGTGAATAATATGACATTCAATATAGGGTATCATTTGAATTGTTGTCGTCATGATGTTATTTTGCATACATGATTTATAGATCCTTGTAAATGTATGTACAAATTATGGTAGAGAATAAGAAAGATTTGAGTGCAATATAGACAAATTACCAAAATGTTGCATGTAGGAAATACCAAGAAAGAGCGCTTGGGATATATACTTTCCTTTTAAGATATTTCTTCATTAATTTCAGGTGTGTAAATACACAATAGCCTGCAACATATTGCTGATTTGATGTCATTGGAGTATCTTAACAAAGTTTGCCAGCCTCATCTTTATTTGTGCATTTTGGCAAAATCATACATGTTACAAATATTGCTGAAGCAAGTGGAATTTTATTTATATTTAGCTAACATGCTACAATATGGTAGATCAGAGTCATATCTTTGTATTAAATTTTAAATCACAGA